ATTAGATTTATATAAGTATTTAAGTAAACTAAAGTTCTCTAGTATATAAGTACTAACTAATTATTAAATATATTATTATTATAGAAACTAGGTATATGTCACGGATGCCAACAAAGGATAAAGTGTATACAGCTTTTGAATCAATTGCTAGAACTAAAACCGTAGGTACGAAGAAATCAAACTAAAGAGAGAAGAGAATCTGAAAGGAGCGAAGTTATTTAAGTTGTTCCAATGCCAAGTCTCGTCACGTGCTTGGCCAAGCGAATGAAATCCTGTCAAATGAAATCCAGCTCCGTCACAGTATAAGCTAGTATTAAATCTCTTCTATCTTATTTAGTATGATATCGAAATACTAAAAGTATATCTTATTAGAATTCTCCTCTTTTATCTTATTAAGGCTAAGCGAGTTCTATTCAGCTAAAGAGTATAGTTAATATTCGAAACCTTTAAAGCGCTTTTATATTATAGTATATACTTCTTAAACTAAAGGTTGGGTTATAAGAGTTCGAATATAAGTTTAATAGAAACTAGCGGCTTATTCCTTAAGTATTATTAGTAGAGTAATTAATTATTTATTAACTAGAATTTTATAACTTATAGTATTATTATAGACGGGATAAAGTTTAAGTAAAAAGTTATTTCTAGTACTACTAAACTTATTAGTATTATTATAGTAGTACTTTTTTAATATAGTTATTTCCTTACTAAATTCTAAGATATAAGTACTTTAGAATAACTTGTTAATCTCCTTAGGAATTAGTATTAGAGTAACAGTATTAGTAGCTAGTAGTAAAAGGCGCTAGTATTGCTAAAAATTTAGGTTATTTTATCTATTTTAACTAGTATACTATTCGTTCGTATATATTATTAACTATACTATCTGGTAGGGACTAAAGAACGTTCGCTTTACTACTAGTATAAGTAATACTATTTATCCGGTTCGGATACTAAAAGATTTAGGTCTCTAATAGTAGATAGTATATTTATAGCCGGTTTTAGTACTATATAAGAATCGATAGAAGGTAGTCCTAGATTCTAAACTAGATTCGGTAGAGGTAATTATATAGCTAGTAGTAATATAATTAGTAGTATAGGTACTACTTTTAGTAGTACTAGTAGAAGTATCGGTTCCTATTATATTATTAGTAAAGGTAAAAGTAAAATATCTTCTAGTTAAGGTTTTAGTTATTTATTTAGTTATATAAGAACCTATATAATTTTATTTTTAAGGCTTTTAAATACATTAGTACCTCTTAGTAAGAATATACTTTATAAATCCTCTAAACTCTTTTAATTTGCTTAAGATCTACTATATAAACTCCTCTTTAATTTTAATAATACTTATAATAATAGTATTATTTTATAATATTCTTAAAATACCTCTACTCTTACTCTACTATTCTATATTACTAATAAATCCTCTTTAGCCTATAGTAGTATAATCTCCTTTATTTATAGGTTTAATCTTTCTATTATATTCTCTTATTTTAATATTTACTCCTTTCTTATAAAGCGTCTCTCTTATATTCTTTACTACTACTATTTATAATATTAAGATTTACTATAATCTTAACTATTCTTTAAAGTCTACCTAAAAGATATTAAATAGTATTACTCCTTCTTTTTCTCTATCTATATAATCTTTAATCTTCTTTTTAAGGAGTACTTTAAGTTCCTTAAGAGTAAGAGCCGCTCTCTCTTTCCCTTTAGCATTAGATCTAGGAGAGTTCTCGGCTTTAGTTTTATTATAGTAGAACATTTTTCGTCCGTTTATTATAGTTGTAGAAGGGTCTTAAGTTAGTATAAGAACTAGAGTAAGAAGGTTATATTTAAGGGTTATATAAAGAATTAGATATTTTAATCTATAATTACTAATTAGTATTAGTTTAGCTTCTTAGGCCCGGATACTAAATATAGTCTTATATATTCGTATAGGGTTCTAAGTAAGTATAGGTAGCTAGCTAATATATAGTAGTTGTGACGACACGTACGATATGTTGCTCAAGGAAAGCGATCCAGAGATTTTCATTGATTGGAATGGTCACGTGACCTGGATCTTTTGGATCGTAATGATCCACGATCCAGGAGCGTAGATCTGCATGATCCAGTACGATCCACGAACATGAAAGGATCTATATAAGACTGGCACGTCTGCCATTAGATAGGAGCTTCGTGCTCAACTTAGTTATCAACTTAGTTATCAATCTTATCATATTAGTTTGACATCTTTGATACAAGTAACGAGTTCACTTCCAAGTGAACAACCCGATAGTCTTCTTCTTATCATAGCATACCAACCAGCGAACACCCAGCCAAGTTTAGTTAGCCAGTTTGAGTATTCGTTACAGCTAAGTAGATTAAATAATTCTATACTAAACCTAAAGATTCTTATAGAACTCGAGGTAAGGTTAGAGAATAACTAATAACTCTATAATAATATAAATCGTAATAAGCTTACGAAGTATATCTAGTAATAGTTATATAGCCTAAAGCTATATTCGATCTATTTATTACTATATAAATAAAAGAACCTAGTAAGGAGAATATCGATTAATTAAATAAGAGACTTAAATAAACAAAGGATAACTTTACTTAAAGACTAAAGTATATACTACTTAATAATAAGATAATAAAACTTATATTATTTTATAATAGTACCTTTATAAATTTAAAGGATTTAACGTTATAACTTAGATTTATTCTAGTTTTTATAAATACTAGTAGGAGTACGAATTTACTTTATTAGAGTTTAATAAAATATAAAAGAGTTATAAAAAGTATTCTAGCCTCTAAATTATACGCTTTAAATAGTAGTTTCGATATTACTATATTTATAAAGAAGACTCTTAATAATATACTCGATTCGCCAATAATACTTAAAGTTTATACTAATTCTAAGTTACTTTATAATTATATAATAAAACTTAGTATAATAAAGAAGAAACGCCTTAAATTAGATCTAATAGTAATTTAAGAAGCCTTCAAAAAAAGAGAGATTAATAACTTCCTATAGGTTCGAGGACCTAATAACCCCGCTAGTATAATAACTAAGTCGAAATATAATAGTACCTTAAATTTACTTATTAATTTAAATAAGATATAATATAAGCTTAACGAATCGGTAGAAAGAGCGGCTAAAAAAGCTAAAAAGGCTAAAGAAAGAGTAGAATAATAAGTTTCCTTTATTATTTAAAGTACTTTATACTATCTTTACTATTTTTTAAGTAGTACTAGTATTAGTATATTTAGGTCCTATGGTAGAAAGAAGGGTAATTGTATAAAACTATCTTAGATAGTATAGTATATACTTAGATATATTAGCTATAATACTATATTCTATTACTTCGCTAGTAATACTAATAATAATAGTTATAAATAAAATATTAGTTAGCTAGTAAATATTGCTATAACACCAGATTTAAATATATTTTACTTTTAAATAAGATTTATAAAAGTTATATTTTATTAGTTTAATTTATTTTAAATATTCTATAAACTAGTATTATATTTATTATTAAAATAAGAAATACTAGAAAAAATGTATATAACTAGTTATTAAATAGTATTATTTTAGTATTATAGCTAGTATTTAGTTTTATTCTCTAAACCTTTATATATACTAGTACTTTATACTCTAGCCAGCTTTATTTATTCTTTTTTTTTTAATAATTTATAAAGTCTATAGGAACTTAAAGATATTAGTTATAGTAACGAAAAGGAATATAAATAGAGTCTCTCCTGGATTATCTAAGGGACTTTTTAATATAGATTAAGGACGTATATAACTTTGTCGGTATAGGGTTCGATATAAAAAAGATAAGAGTAACAAAACCCATTTGGAAAAGCGCATGAAAGGTCTAGGAGATAGAATGCAAAAAGACATCATAGTACTATAACAGTCTCACGGTAACGAATACGGAAAGAGTTACGGAACACATCTTACCACGAATCATACAACGGAGTTCTACTACGATTCACACAGCCGAGTTCTGCCACGATTCGCACAGCCGTGTTCTACCCCGATTCGCACAACAGAGTAGTATTGTTGGCTCGGGGTTTCGTTGTTGTTGATCATTGCCATTTTGAAGATATGCGGCACGGTCAATGGCAAGCTGCAAGTGATACCGGTACTGCACAGAACCACAGATCCGGCCATCCCGTTTTCTCACGGCTCAACCTGCATTCATTTCAAGTTTACTAAGCCTGACAAAGTACCCCGCTAACTTGCAGATTTCGCGACTCTGTATGAAAATTTACTAACTTAAGCCTTTATGCAATAGTGGTGGCGATATCATGGTACTTCATAATTTCTCATTATCCTTTCACACGAGTAGTGAATTCGGAATTCAGCGCAAGCGATTTTTGCACCTGGGGTAAGGGGTGTCACCGTTATTATTACGGTGCCGTCACAACCTAAGGCGGAGGCCCAAGGTAGTAAATCTACTGTTTTTGGCCTTAGCTATACTTAAATCTCCCAAGGGCTACCCTTCCTTCTTGCTTTAAGTGTGCTTATAGGTAATGTGGAAGTCGAAGTACACATAAAACAGGCGTGAAGTGGATTCTCCAAGAGGATCGACCTGAAGTTGAACCCCTTTCATGGCTCTTGCTACATTGGTTCTTACGAAATAAGGTCTTTTCCATCTAGCCTCCGACTACCTTGGGCCTCCGTGTCGAGTTTTGACGGTAAATGTAATACTAAGGCTATTATTCTACTGTATAGGAGGTAACAGGCCTTTGATAGTTGGTGACCTCTCACATATCATATTCCAGGAAGCGTCTTATTATCAGATGAGGTCGTGGGGAGGGCCCACTAGCTATCATCACGACATGTATACTCCCTCAAATACCTACCTACCTGGTAGTAACTCTCATCCCCAACCTGCCCACACCACAAACACCACAAACACCACAATCTCAACTTAAAACCCGTCACAACAAACATGAAAGAACTCAAATATTTCAATTCAATCCACAATCCAATCCAATTCAAATTCCATCCCTCCCTTACTTTGTCTCGACCTACCAGTCCTAAGATATCTTATCGCATCGCATCATTCATTCATCCATCCTTCCCTACGTGACGCAACTAGCAAATAGAATATTATGTCACAACCAACGCCCTAACTCCAACCATATCCATGCATGCGGCAGTGCAAAAACTCCAAATGAGACAGGCAAATTCCAGTCCATAATGACATATGCTCCATCGCCTCGAAAAAGAAAGGGGAAAAAGAAAAACAAATGCAATGAGCTTGATAATCTCCCATCTTTACCACATGAATAGACCTAACAGTCCTTGAATGTTATGGTGACGTGATAGCCACCGATGTTTGTCTGTTGTTTTGTTTTGTCTTTTGGGTCTTTTTGGTCTTCCAGCCGAGCTGAAAGTCGGGTTGTCGATATCTGATACTGTAAAGGGGAAATGAATAGGAAAGGAAAGGAATGGTGTAAAAAGAAACAAATGTGTAGTCGAAAGATCCAACATGCAAATCCAACCTAAGAGATGTTTCGGGAAAAGGAGGAGATAGAAGAAAGACAATCTCGTAAGGCAATGGCCTTTTCTTCAATGAGAACCGCAAATGTGAACGAAAAACGCTGTGCATACTCCAAACGCCGAACGGGAAAGAAGACAACAAACGCCGGGAAAGAAATCGAATGGAGGAGTCGGTAAAGAAGGCGTATTTCTCAACCCTCGAGTTGCTTCGAATCCGATTCCCTCTTCAAAGAAATCATCTCCTTCAATTCGTCGAGTAGTTCTACCGTCTCGGTCGGACTCGCAATCCAAGCAGTCGTTCCCACAACTCTCGCCTTGAAATCGTTGCTACCAGCACTGAGAAATTGGTCTCCGACGTGAAGTGTTCGATCACCACTGATGGCCTCGATGCCGCAATCCGACAAAATGCTGTTGCTGTCTCCACTAGTCGATCCCTCCATGTTTTCCACGCTCTTGCTGCCAAAGTAGTTTTGGCAAACGAGGACACCCCATGACTTATCTCCGATATCGACGAAGACGTCATTCCCACCATTGAAAGCGCAAAAGGGGAGGAGTCGACCGACATCACTCATTTCGAGTTTCTTTTGGACGACAAGGACTGTTTCTTCAAGGGACTCACGTGCAAAGCGGTAGCCGGCAACTGAGGGGATGATGCCTACTGCCCGTTCCTTTCGAAGGATGACAGCTGGGAGCGAAAGGTTCTTGACGCATTCGCGAAGGGAGGTTTCGGCTACGTTGAGAAGGTTGGTGATGGTTTCTTGGGTCCAAGTTGACATGGAAGGAAGGATCCATGATCGTCGTGGGAGGTATTCGAGGAGGTGAGGGGAGTTGAGTGAGAATCTGAAGAGGAAGTTTGATTCACCACCTTGAGTTTTATATACGTTGTTAGGATTACTGCGTGATTTATTAGGACGGGAAGGGAGATCGGGCCACACACCCATGACAATTAGATTGTTTCTTTGTTCGTCGGTAAGCTTCGGGGAGGACTTGACGGCGTCGAGGAGACCGTGAAGACGGCCATAGTATTTCTCTGCTTCGGTGTAACCTGCTGCAGTGACGATTCCAATCTTTGTATCATTGCTCATGAGGACTGTAAATATGAGTTAGTGACAGTTCAAAGGACAGCTGATATCATGAGACACTGACATATGATTCTAGATATGATTGGATTATCGGGCTCCAAGCTCTCACCATCGTCATACCTAGCACGTGTTAGCGTCACCCACCACAAACCAACTCATCCTTCTCTTACAATGTGACATCTCCGTCAAAAGTTGCCAGGTCCAAACGACCACTCGATGTCAATCCCAGAAGTTGGGCAGTATTGAGAATAAGACGAACATCATTGAAAGATGGGGGGACGAAGCGTCGAGATGAGATGAAGCGTTGTCGGTCTTGATATTTGAACGCCTCCGCTAGGGGAAGTCGTGTAAAGAAGGTGCCGATAGTAGGTACCAGAAGCTTGAGCTTTGATTGGATCTGACCATTTTGAGTGACGTTTTGATGGGCAACTGATAGAAAGTTAGAAAGACGTGAAGGATGATAAGTGAATGTAGGTGTCAGAAATGTCTTCGGGTTAATGAACTAGGGAGAAAAACTCAAATTGCAAGAGTTTTGGCCAATCGTAATAATAGGTGCAAAGAATTGGAGGTTTTAGGCTACCCACCCACAACGAAGCCCAAGGATTAAAAACAGGGAAAATAAGAAACTTGGAAAAATTCTCACTGTGATCGTCAATCATTTCCTCCACATCTCGCATGATCTCAGCATATCTTCGATGAGCCTCTTCCGCCATCTGCTCGACAGAGGTTCTCCTAGTCTCAAACACACCCGTAGGTTGAGAATGAAGCACAAAGGGGACAGCAAGGAGACCTTTGATCCATTCTGTATGACTATTAGCATGAGACATAAGAAAACCATACGTGTGATGGATCAAAAAGGGGAGAAAAGTCAGAAAACTCCTCAGCTGACGATACAAACATACCAATGAACTGGTCTCTTCTGTGTGTCTTGAGTGCATCTACATCCAGTCAGTATCTGATTTGACGGCATAACAAGCAAGAAGACTTACACTCAACACGATAGCGAGTCGTCATCTTGAAATTCGGATAACGAACGAATTGGTAACCTTTCCGAAACGGTACGTAAAGAAGCAATGTCCACTGGGCAGGGAAGCTAGTGCTTAAGCTGATAGATTAAAAGTGGGTTTCGAACTCTTGGAGAATTTTGAAGGAAAAGGGTGCAGTAGATCTCTCAAATAGCAAAGATTCGAATTGATAAAGCTAACGTTGAGAAACCTAGAAGTTTGCAATGCTGGCTCAGAATGTGTTGTTGTTGAGGTGTGTTGTAGACGTTGAGAGTAAGGAGTTCTGGCGTCTATTTAACCTGGGTCTCTCACCGCCCGCCCATTGGCAAGCACATGACTTGGAAAGCGGAGGCGATTCACCTCCTCGCTTCTACTATCCCCTTGGACTGTGCCCTAACTTCGTTTGTAAATCAGAACTATTCGCAATCTTTGTTTCAAGTCTAATCGGCTACCAATCAGTTGTGATGCAAGGATACTTGTGTTGCCAAACATCCACGTATTGATGCCAAGAAATTGCCCCTCTATCCGATAATCTGCGTATGTTCAATCAGGGCACACTTCACTACATTGCATAGCATATTTTGTGGTCATTAATTCATCAATTCATATAATTTCTAAGGGGAGATTCCAAAACCAAGCAATCCCCTCACTCCAGCCCCCTCTTACGATCCTTGGCCTTTTTTCCAGAAAGGGACGGTTCTGGACGGGGCACTTCTGGCCGACCGCTGAGAGAATCTACTATATGTTTCAGATCTACCCAAAACTCATCTTTGGGCCGCCTATTCTTCCAATCCGTCTCATTCTCTTCCACATCCTTCATAGGACTGAACACAACCGATGCACCTTTGATGCCAATGACGGAGCTGCTCTGCGGATTCTTCAAAATCGACTCGTCTGTTCTATCTTCGAACTGTTCCAAGTGCTCTACACATTTGATGGCTAGTCTCACTGCTCGTGTACGGTCCATCGGTGAAGGTGTTCCACCTTGCTGTACGTGTCCAGGTATTGAATCTCGAGACTCAAAGCGCTCATGTGCTTCTTCACGGATCATATCCGCGATCAATTTCGCACTGTATACTTTGCTTGCCTTTTCATTGACGAGAATAAGACGCCCGGCTCTGGATTGTCCAGAGTCCTCACGGAAAGCTTTCCGAAGGTGTTCAATATCAGCAGCCAACATATTGATGCTGATACCCTCCTCTGGGGTATAGACAGCAACAGCACCCACAGAGAGACCTCCCAAAGTGGCTATGTAACCTGAACGACCCCCTTGTGTTTCAATGACAAATACTCTTCGTCTGGATGCTGAGGCTGATTGTTTGATCTTATCGCAGTAATGCATAAGCTCGTTTAAGCAAGTATCAGACCCAAGACTGTATTCTGATCCGGGGACGTTGTTCGAAATTGTAGCAGGGAGCAAAGTCATGGGAATACATAGCGAAGAATATTGTTCTCTTGCTTGTCGGAGTTGGGAGAGAGATTGGAAAGCTTCGAATCCACCAATTAGGAAGAGGGCATCAATTTTGTATTCTTTGACAAGCGAAGCGATCAGCTCCATGCCGGATTCTTGAGGAGTTTCGCGATTCATTCCAATCTCGGAACCACCTTTACTTGCCCAGCCGTCAACTTCGAGCCAGTTGAATTCCCTGACCGCTCCCATGGGCTTATCGCCGTGGTGGCGAGCGAAACCCGCGAAACCGTTATGGATAGCGAGGGGTGTATGGCCGCGAGTTAGACAATATGCCACAGCCGCTCTCGTTGCAGCATTAACACCGCCCGCCGGTGCACCCACATGGATAATGGCGATTCGCATATGCTATGATTTATAAGCGTTTGATTTGAATAATTTACTATACACGAACCTTGGTTAGAGGGAGAAGCATGGATTTGTTCAAGCCTGTTGAAGTTGTGGTCATGTATGATTTATACATATCTGAAAATTCGGTGTCTCTAAGGCCCATGGCCTTGTCAAAGTCTCTAGCTTCGATCGCTTTGGCGACTTCTTGTGTATCCAACACTGCTTGAACCAGAGGTTTTCTTGTGATTTTGTTCTCGTTTATGGCGATAAATGGAGTTGGCGTTTCCGGGGTGGCATCTAGCACTGCGTTCACGGCTTCTACACCTTGTAAAGTTGCAAGGTATCGATCGAATGCACAAGCGGTTCCTCCTCTTTGCACATGGCCGAGGGTTGTAATTCGGGTATCCAGAGCGAGGCCGCTCTTGTCCGCGAGGAGATCCTTAATCATTTCTGGGGTAATTTTACCCCCGTCCTGGTCGTGAGCGCCTTCGGCAACGATAACGATCGTCTTTCTTTTTCCGATTTTTCGGTGCTATTGAATATTAGCTTTTGAATGGCTCTCAGAAGCCGATTTACAGACTTGTGCCACAATCCCGCACATTTCCTCTTTCCAGTTCCTCCCTCGAGGTTTCTCGGGAATAAAGACAAAGTCGGCACCTGTTGCAACACCGGCCATCAATGCCAGCCAACCGCAATGCCTGCCCATGACCTCAATGACGAAGGCCCGGGAATGTGAGGAGGCGGTTGCCTCGATATAATCCACCATTTCACAAATTCGACCTAAAGCCGAGTAGCATCCGATTGTAGCGTCTGTGCCAGACATGTCGTTGTCAATTGATCCAACCAGACCGACGATATTCAAGTGTCTGAAGGGCTCAATCTGTTCGTTAGAGAGCTGTTTGGTATCGACCAGCTCTTGGGTCAAACTGGGCCATTCCGAGCGGAACTTGTCCGCTCCCGTCAAGGAACCATCACCACCGCAGATAATGAGGGCATCAATGCCATTGAGAATCATGTTTTTGGCAGCGGTGAGTCTGCCAGGGCGTTCGTAGAATGCCATACATCGAGCCGTCCCAATCAAAGTTCCACCTTCCGAGAGCCAGCCGCGGACCATGGACCATTCAAACTTCTTGATGAACTCTTTACCTTGTACGAGACCCTCGTAACCCTCGTAGATGCAGAATACCTCGCAGTTGGCCTCGATGGCCATACGGACGACTGCTCGAATCGCTGCATTCATGCCGGGGGAATCTCCACCACTCGTCATCATGCCAATTCTTCGTTTCTTTCCCTCGAGGGGAGGTGGAGGATGAGCGGGCGCCATGATGGTATAGGTATTCGGAGAGAGGAATTGGGGGTGGTTGGGTTGTTTGTTTGTAGGTAGGTAGGGGGGAAGTTGAGAATGGAGGGGTATGAAAATATAGGGAATAAAAATGAGCGAGGGAGCAGTTCAAGAGGAAGGAGGAGGGAATGGAGGAAGGAAAAAACTTTGCGGTGCTCGGGGGTCAGAGTTTTGAGGGATGAGGGGTTTGTTGAAGGCAGCAATGACGAAGGTGCCTCCAAAGATCTGAGGTGGAGGGGTGGGGGGAGCAGTATCTGTCAGGGAACTCTGCGCCAATTACCACGCTGGAAAATGCCCGTCGACGCAATAACTTTGAAAAGTTCAGGGGTCATGCTGCAGTGATCCCTCCCTAGCATTAGAAGCCAGCCCTGTGGTAGCCCTGTAGCTCCCTGTAGCTCCCTGTAGCCCAGCCCTGCCAGCATGGGAGTAACGAGGGTCAGCCTAAATTAATTCACCGACGACAACGACGGTCACCGATTCACCTCCCCCTCAACTTTTGAGGGCCAGTGCATCTCGGGCTACACCAACGCTAATTGCGAGCAACCCGTATCGAGCTAGCTGGCAGCTACAGCTACCTACCTACGTACGCATTCCTACCTGGACCAGCCCATGAGTCTCTCTGAGCACGGCTAGATAGCTCCGGAAGACCGACTCGACTACTCACCACTCATCTCATCAACACCTTTTTTCTCCCTATACGCTACTTCCATCAGCCTCCCACCGAATACTGAAAAGACTCAGCCTGGTGGTATAAATCTTTCTAACATACACCATCGGTCAACAGCAAACGAGAACGACACGATCCGTAAGGGGCGCGAGCACAACCACACCAGGACACTCAACGTGTACTCTGCCCACTGGTCGACAATCCGTATCACCAGAATATAACGGGGAGCGCAGCGTGAGTGGGCAGGATCTGCCGCAAAGGGTCTTGGTTCCGTGCGGGTGGAAAAGAGGACCAAAGTAGTAGATAGAAGCTGTAGTACTAGCACACCTCCAACATGGGCTCCATTCCGAACAATTTCCCCATCTCTCTGAGATCATGGCCCTCGTCAACGAAGCCCGCCGAGGGTCCAGATCTGAAGACGCTTTTCGGCCGCATCAACTCGGAGCGCGGGGGATTTCGAAATCTGACCGAGGAAAGCTTGCGACAAGAAATCGCAGAAGAGGAGGCAAACAAGCCAGAAGAAGATGAGGAGGAGGGTAGTGACAAGCAGGATGAGGATGTAGAACCTGACCGAATGAAGGAGCTTATGGCAGCCAGAGAAGAGCTGATTGCTCACGGAGAGTAAGTAGCGGCGAGTTGCACCGACCAGGATCAGTATTGACCACACGTAGATCAGCATTCAACTCAGCTGCATACGCCTTGGATTTTGTTTCGCTACTTTTGTCGAAAAACATGCCAAATTCTGCCAGTCAGACAGTCTCGCCAGCACTGAAAGATATGGTTGGCATGGGCGTATTGGGTGCGGACAAATTACATACCCCTCGTATTACTGAGGACCAAAAGCAGGAAAACATGCGCATCGCAAAAGGGTGGAAACTACAAAATCTGAGCAAGACCGTCGACACTATCTTAAACGCGGCTACGAGACTAGAAAAGGAAATCGAGAGTGAGACCAAATACTGGGAGGAAGTGCTTGCTGTTAGTAACAAAGGCTGGGCGATATGTAGAATCCCGAGCGAAAAACAGACCCTGGGGGTTCGATTTGGCTTCTCAGAAGCATCACTCACATTTAAGAACCAAAGTCTAGCGGCATTGCGCAGAAATGCTGATGGCTCTATATTTCTCGATCAGGGCTTTTCTGGGACCGAGCCTCAAGCCTTGCGGGTACAGATACATACCAATGGATCTGCTACGGGTTCATCGCCTATGCCAAAATTGGTGGAGCCAGACTCTCCAGTAGAAGCCTTGATCTTACAAGCACGGAACACCATATTTGACACCGAACTCTGGCAAGAGCTTAACCGAGAGAGTCGAGCGCTTGGGGGAGTAGACGTGACTTCTGTTGGCGATTCCCTTGTTTTGTCCTTGAACTCTACCAAGTCGATTGTAGTAGACATGGTTCCGCTTGGAGAGGCAGTTTCCCCTCCAGGTCCAGACGATGCGGTTGCGCGAGGAATCTGCTTGTCACTACAACTGCTTCTGAGCTATGCACATCGACAAGTCCATCGTCGTCGTACCCAGCCACCGCCGCCAATCTCAGGAAATAAGCGTCCAAACCCTCCCTATAATCTGTTCCGTCCATTACTGGCACGACTAAACCATCAACGTTCTATTAGTAGCATTAATTCGCTTTTGTTGAATATTGCCTCCATACTCCAATCAGCGGCAGTCTCACCAGAACCAACTTACAAGCTTGTCCATTCGACACCACCGGCACCAACTAACATCCAAAAGGCCGAATTGACAGTCTACTCCCTTACCGATCGTATGGAATCCGTGGCAAGCCTTGCTATCACACCCACAACTACTATAACCATCTCTTCCAGAACCATGCAATTCCCAGTCTCAACTTCCTATTATCAGATCACGCTGAATCCCGAATCCCCGCTTCTTACACTTTGCCCGCCGACCCAGGTTCTCAACACCTTTGGGCATGTCGAGGAGTATGTCCTCTACGCAACCTCATGTGCCCTCGCCTCTTCCCTTGCAACCACTCTTTCCCCTCTAGACGACGACGAGGTATCTTCCTCCGCCCCTGGAAAGGACGGATGGTATGCAATGCCACGGCCCAATATTCTTAAAAAGGTCTTTGAGGGTGGCAAAGTAAAGCATCTGACTTTTAAACTTGATAACCCAGAGAAGGGGTCAGGCATGAAACACATGCGGCTGAGCGTCGCGTGGGATTGGGAACTTGCGGGCGTTGATGGCAGTGATGGCAAGGAAGGCAGGCGCTCTGTTAAAAAAGCTGAGGGCGAGGGAATTTACGAGTGGAAGACTAAGAAGACAGGTACATCTTGGAATGATGGAGAAGGGGAGGTTGCAAGGAGTTTGGCGGATGTTATTGAAGCTGCTGGAAAATTACCAAGTCAGTGATGTGATGTTGCTTTGGGCTAGAAATTAGGTCAAAATTACTCGGGTTAGCTCTATTCAGATCTAGCAAGATCTTGTAAATACAGCCTTGTTTTTTGTTCTTTTGAAACCTGTTTACTATTGTGTTGTTTGTAATAGAAGACAAGCTTCGGACTCTTTCCTGGAGAGAGGAGGTTGCGACGAATCGGAGCAAAATCGGCCCGCTGCGTGAAGGTGGAGGTGGAGTTGGAGGTGCCAGGGTTCACCTTTGGAACCTTCAAACCTTCCCCTTCTCACCTTCTGTCCCATGGTGATCGGCACAACAAACATTCAACCACTCCTCAACTTGGAGAACCTCATTCAATTGATCTGAAACCTGGTCGCGCATCAAAACCAGGTGCTCAAGGCAACGCTTGAGTTTCCGCGTCGGTTTCTTTGATGCGAACAGGTGCATTTAACGCTGCGTCTTGACCCACCTTACTGCAGAGTCCAGACACTCACAGAGCCACCACCGATCGCGAGTATCTGATTACAGAACCGACTGGGGACTACCAGAATAACAATCCACAGCCTACATCAACTTGAATTGTTGAGGCACCTCAATCATGTCGTATCGCGTCGGTAAGTTCTTTTACACCATATCCTCCTCATCTATTAATCTATACGCGTCCTGGACCTGTGACATCATTATACAAGAGAACCTTGATATCTCTCATACAATGGCACTCTTCGCTGACAATCTTCTATAGAGACTGCGTCCAGTGGATGTGCTGTTTGCAAAGCCACTGATTGCAACAAGATCAAGATCAAGATTGGCAAGGACGAATTGCGATTTGGTGTTTGGGTTGAGACTAGGGACTATGCCAGCTGGGCTTGGAAGCATTGGTAATTGTGAACTGGCTTTGGCGACTTTACTTTACTAATCTGCTTGTAGGGGCTGTATGACTGGAAAGCAGTTGCAGAATTTGAGAAACTATCTTCAAGTCGAGGGACAACCAGGTACTTATGACTGGGACAAGCTGGATGGTTATGATGGCCACGACACGGAGAAGAACAGCCTTGATCATCACCCTGACCTCCAAGAAAAAGTTCGTCGAGTCGTTACCCAAGGCTTCATTGACCCCGAGGATTTTAATGGCGTAAGTACTTGCTTCTTGACCCCAACTTCCATACGGGGTAGGGTGGCATAAGAGAGCGTCCCATAAGAGGCAACGCAAGAACTCAAATCCAACAATGACTTGTGTAACAAATAGACTGATATATCGCTTAGGACTCTGAAATGAACGTTCTGGGTGCCACGGGTTTATTGAGTGCCGCCAGCAAGAAGCAGCGAAGAGAAGAAGCCAAAGAAAAGAAGCAAGAAAACGGAGAGTCGACCGATGATGTTACTAAAGTTGAAAATGAGAAGAACGTTGTGAAGGCCGAATCCTCCGAGGAACCTGTTGCAAAGCCAGTAAAGAAGGGCAAAAGAGTCAAGAACGAGGTTGATTCTGATGAAGAAGAGCAGAAGCCTCCCAAGAAAAAACGCGCCAGCAAGGTCAAGAAGGAGGAGGATGATGATCAAAAAGAGGTTGCAAGCAAGCCTGCCAGAAAGTCACGAGCCAAGAAAGCAATCAAAGATGAAGATGATGATGACCACAAGGTAACATCAGGTCAACACAGTATGTGAAAGCCATTGCTAATTATTATTACTCTACATGGATGAGTTCGTAGAGGATGACGAAACTCCCCACTCAACAGCCAAGAAACCTCGTGCTAAGAAGGAAAAGGTCAAAGATGAGGTTGCTTCCGAGGCTGAAGATACAGATGATTCTTCTTTGGATTGGAGTTCTATGACTGTCCCGCAGCTCAAGGTCCATCTTTAGGAGCGAAACCTTGCTACATCTGGTAAAAAGGCAGAACTTATCAAGCCCCTCAAGGAAAGTCTCACTCTTCCAACCCCACCCAAGAAGGAAACAACTAGCTGCGAGAAGGTCAAGCAAGAGTCTGGGGACAAAGGTTCTGGTGAAACTGCAGTAAGTTTGGTCAGGATGAACCGACTGAGATGGGTGCAGATATGAGAGGATTGCCAGCCAATGTTGAGACCATGTCCATCAAAGACGAAGCTTCGCCCAGTTCTGCAGCTGCTGAGCATGGATCTTTCAAACAAGAGTCTATGGAACCAAAGAAGGAGGAAGCTGAAGACAAGCCGCTTGCTAAAGCGTAAGTACTTCTACTATTTCTAAAACAATCTGCTAACAAATATCATAGTAAAGCTCCAGTCGTCAGACGTAGACGCTCAGCTCGCCAAAGCGTTCCTACCCTACCTGTTGACTGGTTTCGTCCATGAACTCTCAACACATGACTATTGCGAAGAGCAAGCATTGTCGACCAGTTTAAATGGGTTGGAATGATATGCACACATCGAAGATACTCAAATGACACCAGAATGACAGAATGATGACTTCTCTTCGCTTTTTTTTCTCTTTTATGTTTCCTTGTCACATGATTTTACACATACCTGAATTTTCAGACGCACACACATACCAGGGGCGAGGACTGCATTAGATTGATACCAGGATGGGATTGAAGGCGTTGACGCATCTTGATTTTGCTATTTTGCTATTTTGCTTCATTAGTGGTGGTGGTGTGGTGGATGAACGAGAATTGAGATTGATACACCACACGTTACTCTAGCTAGCTACGAATTGAATTTATGAATTTTAATAATTCAGATTGACACGATTTCCTAGCATTACTTGAGACCATGGAGTTGTGACTTAGTTGAATACTAAGTGTGCTTGAGGTATCTCAGTAATGCTTTCTGAAGAGTAGAAAACAAGTCGCAAGTAGAATTCGGAATGCCCTGCTTGCGAGTGCGAGATAAAAGGTAGATGGATAGATGTGGGTGGATAGATAATGAACCCATCTTAAATCTAGATTGAGAAAGGGGAGTTGGTTCCTCTTCAACCCTTCAAGGTATCGGAAAGTAGAGGTGGTGGGTGGAGGTGGGCAATCCAGAGTAGGTAAGTCTTAAGCGTCTCACCTCCTTACCTCCAGCCCCGGGACACATATTCATGATCACAGTACTCAAGAAAGAGAGAGAGAGAGAGAGAGAAAGAAAGAGAAAGAAAGAAAGCAAAAAGACCACGGTCATATCTTCAATTTCCTCTCTCCGATTTCGCCGTCCAACTATGCCCATTCGCCTCCACTACTTTCCGACCTAGCTACGTACTACAACACCCTTCATACAGAACCCTCTCAATCATATACCGCCATACATACATCCGCCAATCCACCATCATACGCACCGCACGCATAATGCCATCAAAACGCATCAAGTCCACAATTTGCCCATCCATTCTCATCCCTCAACTCGAGCAAGCTCATTACATCATGAAACACAAATATAGAAGGGAAAAAACGACCAAAACATTCCACAAACCCCTCACAAAAGAAATCCACAAAAATACAAAATATCGCAACGGGGTATAGTATGCCACAAAAGGAGGCAGAGGAAGCGCAACAGGAGAAGAAAAAGCAAAAACACGAGAGAGGAAAGTAAAACCAGAACAAAAACAAACTCGCCACCCCCCTTCCAATCGTCCAAATACCTTTCCCTTCCATTCGCGAGCCTTTCCTGTGCGCACCCCGATTCCAAAATCCAGACGGACAAAGAGAGAGAAAGCATACCCAAACTCCCTCTCATACCATGCCATACCATATCCAAACAAAATCGCACAAGCTCGCCCACCCGAGCAAGCCATCTCCTCGCTCCAACTCTTCACACAGCCCATTTCATTAACCACACCCCACACCCAACACACCCTCCTTCTCTTCTCTCAAAACCTTCTCCTCATCTACCACCACCGTTCTCGCCTTATCCGCTTCCCTCTCCATCCCAACGAACACTCTCCTACTAACTCTCGGTTTGCCCCCCGCCCTCTCCAAATCCATCAATAAAACCTTCTGATTATCCCCAGGTGGCAGACTGGAAGAGGAGAGGCTGTTATAATTATACAAATATTCATTCGCTTCTTCAGTAGACATGACGTGAAACGGCGGAGATACATCATACAAATCGTCTTCCTCGTCTGCTGGGCGCGGGGGGGAAGTTGGAGGAGGCGGGGATGTCAGTTTTGGTTTATCGGACGTGAGAATCTTGGACTCTTGAATATCGATGTTGTGGTCGGTGAAAGGGATGAAGATCTGGGGACGAGTGGGAGGTGGTTTTGGAGCGGGAAAGAGTGTTGATGCTGTGGTGTTTGTGGGGGAGTATGAACTACCAGTTGATAAGGACCGCCCGCGGACAACTTCTATCAAGTCTTCGGAATCTTGAGTGACGATGCTCATTCTTTCGCTGAATATTGTGGAAGGTCGTTTGGTGACATCAGAATCACCGGGTAGTTCAATCACCTCCCGTAAAGGTTCACCGGGCCCGTGATCGTTCTTTGAGAGAGCCCACCCCCATCTACCTGTGACATCGTGAAGTGTTAGGCCGGTTATACTGTTATATATGTCGTCGATAGCACTTCTAAATGACGGAGCGTAGTCACAAACTCCCGAATGGACCTCGTCTACTTGAGGCGCACTGGGCATCAATCGCAAGGAATTGACGAGTCTTTTCAGGCTTCTTCGGGGTGGTTGCGGGAGGCCAGAAAAGTCAACCTTGTCCATCAGGTTTGGAAGAATATGAAGTTCGTTGTAGACCATCATGAGCCATCCGAGATTCGTCGCATCGCAGAGATGGGAGCGCTTTGGACAGCGAGGGGTAGTGGTCAGTTCCAAAGATCCAACACTGGACCTACGGGCATTGTCGCTCAAATCCATAGGTGGATTCAAATAATCCCGAAGAGCTTTTGTACAACATTCGTGGATTTGAGCAAGTTTCGCGGCTCGGATATTCTTAATTTTGTCCTTCACGAGTTGTGGCCACAGTTCATTTTCTTGAATCTCTTCATCATCCAACGCATCTAGGATAGCTGTCTTCGACATGCGTGTGAATAGCTCCCGATGTCCAAAAGCATAACTGATGAGCAGTAGCCCTTCTGGACTACTCTCACATGCATTCGTATTGGTCAACAATGGTGGAAGCCATCGATGTTCCACATGCAACTCCAGAGGCGAGGTACATTGGTACTTTAAACACACTTCGGCCACGCTAACAAAAACTGGGAAATCGATGGGCCTAGGAACCTTCGTATTGTGTCCATGTGCGGCGTGCAGAACCATAGTTAGTGCTTCATGCCTATTTAGTTCTATCTGGGGCATGCGGTAAACCTTGACCTCTGTGCCATCTTTGTTTAAAATTCTGATCGGTGGCGCTGGGAATTGTCCATCCGTTGAGTTCTTTCTAGTATACGAGGGTTTAGGTAGGAGCATCTCGGCAAAAAATGGCGAGGACTCGGCGAGGTGATGAGAGGATACACGAAATTTTAATGCTGGATAATCCTCTGGCCCTTTGTTCCCAAATTCCAAAATTGTGTCCCCGTTCTCCGATATCACAAATTCGCGAACAATGGTGTTTGGATTTGCCGCGTCTATATTTGGGGCGTCAAACAGTTGCGCAATCGCTTGCAAGTCGAGCTTTAATTTGTCAAAATTTAGCGAACGTATTTTGAACTGTTCCCAGAACAGCAACTTTTCGGATTTCATGGCATGGATGCTCGTCTCCCTCCATCTCGCGATCAAGCTCTTTCGAAGCGTTCCATCTTCTAAGAAAACCTCCATTTGTTGTTCCGATGCTCCTGGCTCGTTCTTTAAATATGTCGCCAATAGACATGCTCGAAAATTCTCCGCCATATTCTCTTGCATTGATATATATTCGCGTATCGCTGCGACGCGCTGATCGTTGGGATCGAGGTTTGATGCAACCTCGACCAAGGAGCCGCTATGTGAGGATCGAGTGTCGATAGGGCCGCTCGACTCGAGCGACTGGCTTCGCGCACCATTCTCTATATGTCGATCAGAACTGGAGCGTATAGGCTTTTCCCTATTCACTTACGAGACCTTTCTAAAAGACTCTTGCATAGCTGCAAGCACTCCTCTCGTACTTTTTTATATATCTCCCACGCCGCGTCCACCTTTTTTGGATCTGATCCTAGTGGGGCTTTTCGCCATCTTCGAATTCTTTCTTTCAGATATATATACTCGGAGTCATGCGTCGACGCGGAGAAGGGATCGGGCGAGGGCCATGTGTTTGTTCCTGTGGGCTCGATCTCGGATAGTATGGGAGGCGTGCTTACGATGGGGTCCGCGCTGTGATCTCGCTGGCGGGTGTTAGTCTGGACCCAAATGGCGGAAGTCATTTTCCGCACCACTAGCTCCATCCCCGGCATCAATCTTTCCTGCGGAGTCTGGTCTGGTAGAGAGGCGCCCCCAATCGAACTCCTATTCTTCCTGCTCCAGGGAAAGATGCCCTTTGGCTTCGGACTGGTAGCTGAGGCCGAACTGGAATGGAAACTATGGCGCGTGGGTTGGCGGATCATCATGCTGGCGGCTCGCTGGCGTACAAGCCCAAGTACCGCGAGTGAGGTTGTTGTACAGATCTGGAATGGCAATCAAGACAGTTGAGACATCTCAGCATGATGAGGGCCAAGGAGGACTGGAGCGATTCGGTGAGAGATGGAGGGAGAGGGAGGAAGGAGGAAGCAGGCGGGGAGAGGGCGAGGGGGCAGGGGCAGGGGGAGGGGGAGTGAGAGAAGGTAGAAGTGCAAATGTCAGTCGGGTTGCACAGAGGCACAGAGTAAGGCTGTTGATGTAGAGGANGGGGGAGGGGGAGTGAGAGAAGGTAGAAGTGCAAATGTCAGTCGGGTTGCACAGAGGCACAGAGTAAGGCTGTTGATGTAGAGGAGATTAGGGAGTGGAAGGAGGCAGTAGTACGGAGGGACTACGAAGTATACGAGAATATGAGTGGGAGATGCCAATGTGGTGCCAAGAGGTGTTTGCGCAAGTGGCATTGACAAGTCTGGCAGGTGCCCGCGGGAGTGGTTGGCGGGGAAGGGATGGGGATGTACTCGAGTACCCTCCGTACTGGCTCAGTGGCTCGACTGGTACGGTACAACTTAAAGTACCCCATCGAGCCCATCGAGCCCATCCAACGGTCCACGGATCCCTCCCCTTGAATAGCATGGTTGTCCACCTGCAGTACTCGAATAGTCAGTGCAGCAGTAGCAGGCCTGGCCTGGACACGGAGTCGTGGGGATATAATTTATCCACCTGTACGAGTGCTGCGAGTGCTGCGAGTGCTGCGAGTGCTGCGAGTGCTGCGAGTGCTGCGAGTGCTGCGAGTGCTGCGAGTGCTGCGAGTGCTGCGAGTGCTGCGAGTGCTGCGAGTGCTGCGAGTGCTGCGAGTGCTCCGAGTGTTGGGAGCACTGCACTCGACTACCGGAGACTCCGTAGGTATTGTCAAGAAGGTTGGACCCTTCTACGCCTTCTAACTTCTGTGCCTCTTAAGCTTTCCTTCACCGCTACTCGATACAATCAACCAAAACTCCATACGCATCCTGATTCCTCTTCAGCCTTTGCGCCTTTGCGCCTTTGCGCCTTTGCGCCTCTGCGCCTCTGCGGTCTGTTTGGCTGCCTCCATGGCTGCAGAGTATATACGTATATACCACCATGTAATCGAATGCAGACCCACGAATGGCTTCTTGCCTCACACAAACCCCCATGCCACACCGAAGCCGCAGTCAGCTACATGAATGAAAAGAGGTACCGGTCCTCTATACGATACCTATACGTATACCTACTTGGCTCTGTGTCGGACACGCTTTGCACCCGGCATGAGTCACCACGAGAGCGGGAAATCCGTACTCATAAACTCACACTTCCATCCCGCTCATGAGCATAAAAGAAAGAAAAGGTAGTTGCAGTCGTTGGAGCATCATCCACAGATCTGCCACATATCGAAGTCGACATAGTCAACAAAGAGACTCGAGTGCTAGAGGATGCGTACTCGTACTTGATACTGCACCAGCACCTTGACGTCAACTACTCCGACCCCTGGGCTAACTTGATTGGTATTTGACCGGCCGCCATCTGGCATCCATCCATAAGGCTGAAGCAGGTGCCGTTGCTGGTGGGTTGGTGACAGGGCGGACAAGCGAATAGGCAGCAGTTTACTCCTCACCCGCGTTCCACAAGCAGCTGGACGAACATGAACGTGGGGAAGCAAAAAGAGCCGCGATTGGCGCGGCCCGTCAAGCTGGATGGTCGCAAAGGAGAGGGCGGAGGTCAGTTGGTGAGAATTGCCATATCTCTGGCTGCCATCACGGGAACCCCCATTATCATTGATCATATCCGGGCCAACAGAGAACGAAGAGGTCGTGGTGGAGGTAAACGATTCCCATCACATTTCCCTCACCTCTCTTCTCCTCTCTTCTCCTTGCTCAATTGCACAAGAACATCATCCCTTCAACCACAGCAATCAATATTGGAGTTGCTGTGCAAAGGGTAACAACAATCAAAGTTGAAATGGTTGTGCTTTCTGTCATGGTTCAAGGAGCCCCACAATCACCTGCAAGCCGAGAAGATCACGCAGGACTGACCTCCCACACAGGCCTCAAAGCACAACATGTTACTTGCATGAAATATTTAGCAGATGCGACAAACGCCGATGTATCAAATTGCTTCGTGGGAAGCAAAGATATAGAATTCAAGGCAAAATTGTCACCATCTCAAATCGTCAACCGGAATATCAAGATCAAATCGGATTCTGCGGGTAGCGTAATGCTCGTCTTCCAAGCCCTTCTCCCCTTCCTTTTACACGCAAGCGACAAGAAAGGCACCCCAATTGCACTCTCAATTGAGGGTGGGACTAACGTCGGCTTTTCCCCTTCCTTCAAGTACATCGATCAAGTGTTGCTACCATCCCTCGAGCGATTTGGAATTAATGTGGAACGCCATTTGGAATCTCGAGGATGGTCCCGTGGCAGCAGACAGATAGGTAGTGCCAAGTTCAAGATTGATCCTATCCCTCTGGGTCAGCCTCTTTCTCCACCTGATTGGCCAACAGAACGAGGTTATATAACCAAAATCGACATTTCAATCATCGTCCCGTTAGCAATGCATGGGTCCATGAAGAAAGCGTTCCTATCAGAGCTGGAGACTGTGTTTCCCGAAACCAATACAGACTTCTTGATTGTGGAAGACAGCAGGCATATTGCACGTCTTTATACCATTCTAGTCGCCTATACTTCTACTGGCCTGCGCTTTGGGTGCGATTGGCTATACGACAGGTCTTCGAAAAACAAAACGTCCGAAGAACTCAGTACAGAAATGGCAAAGAAAGTTGTCAGCAGTCTGAATTTCGTGGTCCGAAAGGGTGGCTTAGTAGACGAACACCTCCATGCTCAGTTGATTATTTTCCAAGCTCTTGCTGGAGGGAACTCTGTGATTCCCGGATCAGCAGAGACAGCGAACTCTAGCCGGCAGCGGATAGAGAGAACTGATCGACCGTTCGGAGACGGCAGCCCACACGCCACAACAGCAAGATGGGTGACGAGCCAATTGTTCCCAAATCTAAAGTGGGTTGACAAAGGAAGAGTATGTGTTGGGGCAGGCTGGACATCTGTGGAGGTAGAGGTTGAAGCAGCTGAGGAAGCGATCTCAGCGGTCCGAATCGATGAGCCGACGCCTGTTTTACTATAGGCCGCAGGTACGAGTAAACTTCATCTGATCTCAATACTTTCGACAACGAAACGAAAACACGCAGCCTTGGTTCAAGGTTTTCTCCGTCCGGATCCGAACCGCCCCTATGGTCACCAGCACGAAGATGTATCATATCGCCACCCAAACAACAGTGCGCCACCGACTCCTACACAACTCCTGCATTTCCTCTTTGCTATACGACACTTTAGCTAAGGCGATAGCAGATAGCTCACCAGACAGAAGAGTATTTTTTTGAGAAACGGGTCATTTATGTTCTGGCCAAGTCACGGCGTAGTAGCTCTGAGGACGCCAATGCTCTTGAGCCCAAATATTCTTTTGGCTGGTGGTGATTTGAAGCTTCACGAATCCAGGTGTCCAATCTAACGCCGCAGTTCACCGTGTTCGCTTGGACCAATCGGTGGTCTAACCCCAAAATGTCAGCGAGGTCTGTGTTGCTTTAATCTTGACCTAACTGTGAGCTAGGATGAAGCTGCAAAACACCGAACTGCTTTCTGTCAGTTTCATTTCAAAATCGACCCCTTGAGATCTGTAACTTCCTTCTTCTCACCAGAGACATGCTATCTTTCTATCGCGGCAGCTGAAAAGGACTGGAAGTTTCACAGTCTTTCCATGATGTCTACTGGTATATGATCCGCATGTTTGTTTCTTCTTCTTTTCTTTTTGGCTCGATCCCGAGTTTTTGTCGTCGGAACAAGAATCAAGTTACCAAATCCAGGCTCTGCGATAGGCTCATCACAAAATCGAGATAGGGACTTTGGTTGGTGGTTCGTGAAGTGCTGTCCCGCAGGTACAGAAAGCTTGGGCTTGAGCGGACAAAAAGACCGCATTGACTATGATGTCTCGATTTTTCCTATCCCATGAATGAAAGAATCGTCCGGATTTTCTAATGGACATTGACTTGATATGCATTGACCCCCTGAATTTTCCCCCTTCGGGTTTGTCGTGGAAAGGGAACAGTGGCGGGACAACGCTTTCTTCGCGGTTCGTGAGTCACTACGGGAATTTCCAGCTTTCACTGCGTCGTTCTTTCGTTGCTTCTACTTAGAACCCCCTTGGAGAAAACACTTCACTACAATTACAATAGTTGCCAACTTGTAAGCACATCTCGCAAAGTGGTATTGTAAGTTCGATGACGTGCGCTAAGTTGTCTTGATAGATGAGTTTGCATAAAACGTTCCTGACTTACACGAACTGCACCTAGGCTTGGCTGTCACCGTTGTGTCGTGCTTTCTACCGGTTTCCTTAGTCGTTTGTTTCACGGAGGTGTCACTGTTTAAGCATCAACTAGGTGAGGCTACTGCATTTGTACTGGTAGCCTCTTGTAAGCGATCACGGTTTCCGTCATGCCGGAAGCTTGCAGAACCGTGTTTCTATGTCCAAATTTTGAGCCGCAGCTTTAATGTGCTCGAAGCGCTTCTGCATTTCAGTTGGCCGTTTCTATGCAATCCTTGACAGTATCCCAGATGCTGTCGAATCAATGGCTTGCCATGTTGCGCTATGTTTCTTTTGCCGCCTGAGAAGCCTCTCAGGTGGGAGCCTCTGCCAAGTAAAAATCTCGATTAAAAACTAGTTCAGCTTCCATCTTTGCTTGTTAGGGCATCGGGATCGTTTCTTTTTCGAGACTGTATCGATGCTCAGGTACCAAATGCCGACGGCATGGCTCTTATTCGGGAGCGATCCAGCTTGCCACTAACCAAAGAGCGTAAGGAGAACGGGAGGTTTGAAATTGTATAAGTACATCCATCTGCACACCTTCAGATTCTTCTTCCACTCATCAGCTCTAATTTTCTTCCAGTTTAAGCCGTCTTCATTCTCTTCTACTTCTAATTTCTTTAATTCTACTTTTAGGACTTTGCAGGCCACTGTCCCTCTATTAAATCCCTCATTATGTACTTCAAATCCTCAGTTGTCGTTCTTGCAGCAGTTGCTGAGCTTGTTGCTGGCCATGGTGCTATGGTTAAGGCTGTAGGAAACTTGGGTGGTATGGCAACGGCCCTCGGTAGTAAGTCAAAGATCACTTCATCTTGTCTTTGATCGGCGAATTGACACGCTTCCAGTTGACCCCGCCACTCCTCGTGATGGAAGCAAGAGAAACCCGGATCAACAAGATTCCACCAGATTCAAGAATGCTGCCGCTGATGCTTGCGGAGAGACCCTTGCAGGTGGAGCTAACGACCCAGCTACTCAAATCCCAAAGATGCTTGCAATCAACCCAACGATGCCACAAGTCTCCCAGGGCGGCTCACTCATGATGACTCTTCACCAGGTCAACGGTGATGGAGCTGGACCATACGATTGCATGATCGACTCCACCGGTACCGGAACCCAATGGCAAAAGATCCAAGTTACCCAACAAGTCCCAGGTACCAATTCACGATCAAAGGCCAAGGCAACCGACTTCCCTCTCACCGTAAAGATCCCCGCTGATCAGACTTGCACTGGTACCGCGGCTGGTGAGACTAATATGTGTATTGTCAGATGCAACAATGCAGCTCGTAAGTTCATTGCCTTTACAATTTCTAGCTTGTCTTATGACCAAAAACTAACACGTTCCTTACTAGGCGCTGGTCCATTCGGAGGATGTGTTCCAATGCAGATGCCCAGCGCGAACACCACCGCTGGCGCCGCACCACCTGCTGCTCCTGCTGCCGCTGCACCTGCTGCTGCAGACAAGCGCGCTGTTGAGTTCGTCTCGTAATGGACAAGTCCTTCTGCAAGGGGTGTGGTTGTCTACAACCTAGCTACTACTTTGAAAGTCTCCCAGGCGAAGTTCCGGGGATGGCTGGTCGGATGGCTTTTGTTCACTATTGAGAAAAGTAACTTGGAGGTGTTATAGGAGTAGATATTGATATCACTCTTGGATTTTTTTTATGGACTACAGTACCACAGCTTGTTGTTTCGAGGTAGATGGGGAGTGTAGAATGGGGGTGGTAGATGGGGGTGGAAACTATAACTTTCATTTAATATAATGGTTTTTTTTTTATCTTCTGGTTTATTTTCTCGCTTATCTCTGTGCGTCTCTCGATTTTGTAGTGACTCTATACGAGCATCCTGGAATACACTGGTAGTGCTCTCCGCCCTGTGATTAAAGCTTAAGCTTATTCGTGAACTTTGTCATGTTTGGCAGAAGCACAGTGCTTTTTGCGCTGCGTGAAAAAGTGCATGAAGCTGTTAGAACTAACTTTCGAGGGGAGTATAAAGAAATGACAGGTCAATTGTCCTCTTGTCTCGCGGAGAATTCTATTGTTAAGCCTGCCACTTGAACTTGGTGGGGCAGAGCTAAGCGAGGCTGCAAACGTCCCTTGGGTTTCCTTGTTCCTATAGTAGTCCTTTGAACTTTATTAACAAACCCAAGAATGAAACTAACATTATTTTCTTTGTATAAACTTCGCTAAACCTGCGGGTCAAAAACCTCTTTGTTACAACTTTCGTGTATCAACCTCTATTATAAACATCCGCGAGAAGCTTTTCAACCATACCTTCTCAACCAATACGTTTTCCATCAATTGACTGAACTCCGAGATCTTCGTTTAAGCAATTTGGCTGAGAGACCGATAGCTGTTTCAAATGGCGGTATGTTAAACAAACCCGTGCTCGTGAATCTGTAGAATTGATTGCAATTAGGACCCAACAGCTGGAAGGTCTGGTACGAGAAGGGTAGGCATCCAACTTGAAGCATGATAATAACTTTCGTTGATAACTAACTAATATGTGTACAAGGCCAGTCCTGACGACTTCCCAGACCCGGATGACATAGTCATTCCGCCTCCCAACAAAAGCCAAAGAACTCCAGTAAGTCACCGGTCCTCTCGATAACCATTATGGCCTGAAAATTTCCTGACAGCACTTTATAGAGGAAAAAGACTGCAGGCCAAAGACGGCGCCGTACAGCAAGAGTACTTGAAAAGGTACATGACGCACGAGATAAGGAACGTCCGGACCGCCGACAAAGAGCTGTCACGCCTACAGGACTCAATGCCCCCAAGGAAGCTAGGCCAATCCCGCTCCGAGAGAGATATGGTGCCAGAGGCAATGCTGCATATGGAGCGATTAGACCGGCGCGGAGAACTGGTCAGGGCCAGGGCCAGGCCGGTAGCCGGAGCCAGACAAGAGGGAGAAGAACTGCTCCTTCAGTGCCAGATCCAGATTCAGAGATAGTGGCTTCACTTACCCCAGCGGAACGAGACGATTCATATAACGCACCAATGTACCCTTCGCGGGAAGCAAGAGAGCTGCTATTTCCTTGGCTAGCCCAAGGATTCATACCTCAGGTGACTCCGGGCACAGGGGCACAATGTGGAGTATATGCTCTCTATGGCAGTTGGATGGCAGCTTGCGATTGGTATAATAGTCAATCAATTGCCTTCCCAACACAAAATGATGATGGTACGCCCATTACTGTCAAGGACTTTAACGACCTTCTGAATTCCGATGAATATACCGAGCGAGCAGTCCAGGTAGCGCGGCGTATGTATGCAAACGATAGTGCCGCCGCATTGGATGCAGCGGTCAGGGAAGCCGAAGCCAAAAGTTGATTGCAAATTGAGCAAGTCCATCTGCTGCTGGAAATGGTCAATGAAAAATATAAGACAGATTTTGACTTGGGTTACGTTACCCAGGGCCACCAGTTTAGATATGACCCCAGGTCGAAATTGTGGGATAAGAAATACGGCCAAGCGACGACCTGTACCACTACTTACACATCCGGCAATCGACCGATGATTTTTATTTGGAACAACGCTGCTGATGCCACAAATTCTAGTCATAAATCTGGGCTATCACCTCATGATGAGTCATTTGGGCCTGTCAAGAATCCTCAGAATGTTGATCGAGATGAGAGAAGTCGTAAGTTACGAGTAGAAAATTGGGGCATTGGACAAGGAGTAGCAGATCTCTTCGGCTCGGGCTCCACGTCGAACGCAAGTAATGTATACGTCGTGAGTGGTGTAGATACAAGAACCACTCAGCAATGGATAACAACAACAAATGCTAGTGCTAGTGATGCTAGTGCTAATGACCCTGTTCTCCATTTGACCAAAGGTGCTTTTCTGATAGCGGAGACGGCATTGGGTCTCTATAGAATAATGTATGTCCAGCGGAGAATTGAAGAGTCAAATTACTAAAACCATATATAGGAGGTTTGCGAGCGACGGTAGTGCCAGTGGAGTGGCGAGAGGGGTGGTAGCAAGTAGCAATGTTTCAAACGTAGCCGCATCCAACCAACCCACTCCTAACGGCCGATGGCCACATCAGCTGGAATTTGGCTTTGATTCGAAGGGAAGAGTAGCTTATCTGCAAACCCTAGAAGCGCAATTTCAAGCTCCTGACATCCAAGCTGTTACGAATGCGACGGGTCTTCCCCACCGCCTAGCCCTCATACATCTGGCTCATTCTTTGAGCGCCCAACAAGTAACGACTGATTACGGAAACGGCATGAGAGTAGTTTACCATGCAGGGGCTGTCAATACTATAAACGCGATGCGACGAGTTAGGGATGCGCCCAATAGACCACCATTATCTATTCCTATGATTCAGACTAGGAGGTCTCCAACGCCGGCAGCGACGTCTCCAACACAGAGAGGGACGTCTCCAACCCCGAGAGTGAGAACAACCACCAAGGTTGTGAAACCTGCGAAAACTTCCGACGGAAAGAGATCTTCCAGAAAAAAGAAACCTTCCTCTGACGGAAATAACGAAAAGAAAGCCCCTCGAAAGACACGATTTTCTTGTTCGACGTTCTGAAAATAATCTCAGAGCAAAAGTCCTGCTTTCTTCCCCAATTCCAGAATTAACAACACCCGAGGAACTTCTTGCTCATCTCGATTATTGGAAGCGAATTTTCAATGGTTGTTTCTTTGCGGGGTGCTTTCCTGACATCGAAATAATCATAGAAGATATGCATCCCTACTGTGCTGGGTATACTCTATGGGCGCCGACAAGAAAAGAAGTACACATAAATCCAAAAGGTTCTTTGCCACCTGGTTTCAGTCAACATATCAAGAGTTTTGCCTTAGCGCATTACTTCATGAAATGGTGCATGCCTTTACCATCCACTTTTCCTGTCTGAAAAGGAGTTGTTGCGGTAGTCGATATTTTATAGATGCTTCTTGTGGTGGAATGGGCTATTTTGGGCATGGTCCATGCTACTTAGACAGCTTATTAACGGTCAGTGATAGTTTGAGACGCAATGTTGACTGGCCCGTAGATACACTTCTGGAATCCAGTGCCAAAGTTTCCATGTTCGAAGAAGATTGGCAACCAGAGATTGCGCAGCTGGAACGCTGGGGGCTTGATCCAAGGATCTACGGTGATGTCGATACTTGGGGGACATTTCGAGATCGCGTCCTCCATAATATTGCTGTTGCGAATGGTACACAAGAAGGAGGTTAAACACCGTAAAGTGTCCCGGAACAGATTCTATGGATTTGAGAGGAAGCTCTCAGGCAGAACCATGCCTCTCAAACAAATATGAAATTATTGAATCCAACTATAGTAGGAGAAGCTCCTGTCTCGCCCCAAAGTGCTTTTTGGCGTACCCTGATCGAAAACGCAACATTAAAGAGTCCACGATATATGAAGTGAATGTCAGTCGATAAACAAAACGTGTTTTATTTAAGCATGTGCTGAGTCCGCTAACTATTCCATGCATTGCCTTCAACCTTCATGAAATAATAAAAAGCGAAAGTACCGGAAATTATAACTCTTTTTCTATTTATAGTAATGTCTCTATTATACGTCTTTGATATAGCAAAATCATATAGCAAAAACACAGAAGCTAGTACGAAGGTTGCTATCTCACTTGTGTCGCATTGTAGTACTCTCTTAGGTAACCGGTATATTGAACCCCAGGTGTTCGATACATGGACCCTCTCCCCCTTGTCCAATATTGAAAGTTCGCCGCTCCACCAATTTAGATATAGTTCCTGTTTGGGCGGTAGAGCCTTTTTCTCTACTTAGGTATAATTGCCTACATATATACTTAACTTTCTAAGTTAATTCTATTCCCACTTAACGTAGTCCACAAGCGAGTTGGATTCCCAAGCGAAATGGATTTTTTTCTTGGCATTTTATAAATTCTTAAATATCTCACGACACAATTAATTAAATTAATTACAGTATTCAGAATCGGAATCCTCACATATTTCTTCTCCTTTTTGACAAGTTCGTATGTTATGACCATGTTTCCCACATAGTCCACAGCGCCGGCGAGGTACTAGACTCGGGCTCGTACAATTACTATTTTCTACTAAAACCAC